TACATATTTAATATATCTTAATATCTGTAATACTATAGGTACTATTTTATCTATAATACATATTTTATACAGATATGATTAAAGTTATGTTGGATAATAAAATTGTATTCTAAATGCACTTTCATTTGGAAGACCTCAAATTCAAGAAATTTGGACTTAGCTTTTACTTATTAAGCATAGATCTACAATAAGCAACAGGCATGTAATCATCTTCGCCAGGCTTAATTTGGTATGACAATTCATACATTAATATGGTCACGAGTGAACCCATTATAGGTTTATGATACATTTGTTGCAATTCGAAACCTTTCTTAAGGCACAGTTCTCTTCCACCTTCTGTATACTCTGACGCAACAATATTAGCACAGCTGTATCCTTGATCAACAGCAAATTGCACAGCCACATTTATAAGGCACGAAGCTACTCCCTTCCTCCTATATTGCTCATGCACATATAGCCTTTTCAGCCACGCACCTTTGTCTAATCTATAACTTTTACACAAGGCAATAGTTCCTACTATCCTCTTAACCTGAGAGGAAATGTCAATGTTCGAGTCACGGAATTGTTGTTCAGTCATCACAGTGTAGTGAACAGTCTTTGGATGGTGTGTCATTATGTAAGGTTCAAACGCCTCGGCGACCCAAAAGCATGAGAATGCATTGGACATATAAATCCTGTCACAATAATTGAAGAAGTTCTTATATTACTATTCATTTCTATTTGAGATATTTCATTGCACTTTTTACCTTGGTATGTTAGAAACTTCTTCATTAACTTCCATAGCTTTCGCAGTGAAACCTATGTAAGTTGCAACGTACACGAGACAAATAACGAGAGGGACGACCAACAGACAAACAGTCAGGGGTAATCCAAAGAAAATGAACATTATAGCGGCGAATAATATCATCATTTGGAATGTCAATTCTTTAAGTACAATCCCGAAATACGTTGAATTTAAGGAAGACATTACACCTGCCTTTATTAACTCCTTACAATTAATTTCATCACCCGGCTTATAGCTTCTTATTACTATAATATGGCTCATCTTTCCAAATATATCTATCTACTTCACTTTATAAAATATGTACATAACTAACTAGATAGAAATTAAATGTAAACAAAACAAACAAGCCAACCCAAGGAACCCAAGTGTAGGTCAGGTTATGGTTACGGTAGAGTACAATGTGAGAGATTTTAGAAAGAGCACCACTGCATTGGCGGTCGGCAAGCGCAGGATCGCATTTGCATACGTATTTGAATTTGAAGTTCGTCCCTTCAAATAACCCTTGATAACCTCAGAGTTAAAACTAGAATACTTATTCAAAGGAGAACGTACTATTTTCAGATATAAATACAAAGAGTCCTTCCTTTAAGAATTATAACCCCCGGCGGATATACATATATAAGAACGATCCATGTCCTATTATTTATAAGATCACAGACAATTGTGCGACAGAAATAATATAGCGAATGTATTATACAGCTTTCGATAC